AGTCAAAATCGCGTTTTTTTTCAAATGTTACGTTAAGTATAATCAAAATTAAGTTATTTTTATAGTGTTGGTCCTAAAAATAGCTTAAGTTTTAAAATCCAAACCCTAAATTGATGTTTACACACTAAAATCCAAGATTTTTTATTTTTTGCTTTTTCAAATCCCGTTTTGGTCAAAATCTCAAAAACTACAAACTTTATCAAAACGCGGTTTGCATGTTTAAATTACTCATTAAAAACTGCATAAGAAAAAGTGGTGCTAATTATAATTTTCATAATTCTTTAGAGAAAAAATTCAAAAATGACTAAGAAAATTAAATTTTGTTAAACCATTACTACAAAATTTAGATTTTCTTAACGTTTTTGCTTAATTTACTTAAAAATTTCCGAAAATCCTGTAATAAAAAGTTGTCTTTAAAAAATGAAGTAATTTAAATTTGAAAAAAACGTTAATTTCACGTAATTTTTTCACAATTTCACAAAACCGTCTCGATTTTCACAATTTCACACCAAATTAGCGTCCAATTTGGTGAAAAAATGCGCCTCGAGTGAGAATTTTTCCTTGAACTGGAATTTCGCTTTCGAATCATCTTGGTGTCAGATCCGGTCGATCTGAGGGTCGTTCCGCAACGTTTCTTCTTACAAATTGACGATTCTCCACACCTTGGAGCAAAAAAAATGTGTGGTTCAAAGTTGGGATTAGACTCCCACATGAGAAATTTATTTGCAACGGTTTTGGTGCATAATTTAGGTGGAATTTCCCTAAATGGCGCGGTTGGCTGTTCCGGACCCGGAAAAAACTCCGGTGGACGAGCCATACAAGGGACAGCCTTGCTTGGAACACACCTCTAGATTAATTATTATTTATAACTGCACAGGAAAACAGTTAGGAAACGAACACTCAACTGCTGACCAACATCGCCAAAAGTTTAGTAATTATTATTTTGGAAATGTTTTGTTTCGGAAATATGACCCAAAAATAATTCAAAAAACACAAATTTATTTATTTTATTTAGCAAAACTAGACCAGATGTAACTTTCACAATGTCAAAACAACAGCATTTTACGAAAATTATGATTTTGACCTTCACATTAGGAAAATTTCTCACAAATTGTCGCAATTAAAACTAAATTATTGTTAATTTGTTAATTAAGATCATTCCCACATTAAGTGACTCTAAAAATCGAAACATGATTAAAATGTAGTTACAAAAAACAAAATTTTCTATTTTTTGTGTACAAATTACAAGCTTTGTATTAGAAAACTGAAGACAATTTTAAGATTAATAGTTTGGAGATAACCCAAAAATACGTTTTTTGTGGTTTTACATTACGTAGAATTTCTAAAAAATGTGATTTTGTCCTCAAGATGGGTAAAATTTCTTAGAAACTGAAAATGTTCGCATAATTTTTATATAACAATTTAAAAAAAAACTTGAGGAGACTTGAAGATTTGTATCTAAAACTAAAAATGGCCTAAAATATCTAAATTTTGTAATAATAACTAAAAAATAATATTTTCAGTTTTTTCCAAAACTATTCTGAAAATTATAATAAGCATCAATTTTTTTAAGTAGTTTTTGATGAAAATTTTATATATGCAAATTTTACGACTAACAATATAACAGTGATTTAAAAATAGCTCTACTTTAATTACACTCAACGTAACATTTAAAAAAATGGGATTTTGACTTAAAATTTTAAACGTAAAATTTTACTGAAACTTAAAATGTCAGCATAATTTTCATAAAACAATTTAAACAAATTTGAATTCTAACTATTTTTACGTAAAATGGTCTAAGAAGTTCCAAAAAAGCCAAAAATATTTAAATTTTGTGATAACGGCTAGAAAAACCCAATTTTTTTAGTTGTTTTTGAGTTTATTCTAAAGAGGGCAAAATATTCTTAATTTTTTCCAAAACAATTAAAAAAATTATAATTAGTATCACTTTTTCTTATGTTATTTTTAATGAGGAATTTAAATATGCAAACCTCGTGTTGATACAATTTGTAGTTTTTGAGATTTCGACCAAAACGTGATTTAAAAAAATTAAAACTAAAAATTTTAGATTTTAGAGTGTAAACGGCAAACTAGGCTTTTGATTTTAAAACTAAGCTAATTTTGCAACTAACAATATAAAAATATTTTGATTACACTTAATGTAAAATTTAAAAAATGCCATTTTGACTTTGAAATAAGTGAAATTTTACTGAAACTCAAAATGTCAGCAAAATTGTTATAAAGCATTTTAAAGAAACTTGAATTCTGACTATTTTTACGTAAAATAGTCCAAAAAAGTTACAAAAGAGCTAAAAACATCAAAATTTTGTAGTAATGGCTAAAAAAAAAACAATTTTCCTAATCGTTTTTGAGTTCATTCTGAACAGGTCAATGTTTTCCAAAAAAATTAAGAAAAACGTAATTAGCACCACTTTTTCTTATATAATTTTTGATGAGAAATTTAAATATGCAAACCGCGTGTTGATACGATTTTTAGATTTTGAGATTTTGGCCAAAATGTGGTTTAGAAAAGCAAAAACCAAAAATGCTGGATTTTAGTGAGTAAACTGCAAACTAGGCTTTGGATCTTAAAATTAAAAGCATTTCTAGGATCAACAATGTGCAAATAATCATAAAAAAATAATTTTGAATAAAATATTTTTGAAATTTTTTGAAAATTGCAAATCTGACTCTCAAAAGAGTAAAATTTTTTGATTTTTTTAACCACCAAACTTATTTTTGCACAAACTAAGGGCACTTCTAAGACTAATAGTGTATAAATAATAAACAAATAATTCAATTTCAATTGTTTTCTATGTGAAATTACTCAAAAATTTTGATTTTGACCCAAAAAAAATTGAATAAAAATGTGCCCAAATTTTTGTGTTTTTTTGGTCCAAAACACAGTCAAGAATTTTTCATTAAAATGACTATTTTTTTTGATTTTCCTGGCTTCGAAAATTGAATTTTTAGTCAAAAAGTTTTTTCACACTAATAAAACAGTCAAGATTTTTAAAAAAATGTATTTTCAGTAAAAATTGTCTATAAATAATTGCTATTTAAAATTAAAGGTACTTCTAGGATCAACAATGTGCAAATAATAATAAAAAAATAATTTTGAATAAAATATTTTTGAAATTTTTTGAAAATTGCTAATCTGACTCTCAAAAGGGTAAAATTTTTTGATTTTTTTAAAGCACAAAACTTATTTTTGCAGACACTAAGGGCACTTTAACGACCAAGAACGTAAAATTATTAAAGAAATTTAATTTTGACCCAAAAATTTCCAATGTATTAGCAAAAATTTGAATAAAAAAAATAGGAAGTTTTGCCCAAATTTAGTATTTTTTTCCTCAAACTTTAACACTTTGTAAAACACATAAAAAGTGTTTTTTTTTAGTCCAAAACACAGTCAAGAATTTTTCATTAAAATGAC